AATTAAATATTTGAAAGTAAATACAAATATGTATTTGAGCGTAAATATTTGTATTAAACTAAATAATTGAAAATAAAATACCCGTAAAGAGCCGGTACTTTAAATAGTTACCGGCTCTTTATGGGCAAACACGCATTATTCATTTAAAGTGCCGGTTCTTTATGGATATTTTACTTTCAAACATTTAATTCATGATAATATATCAATATTTGTGAGTAAAATTTAAAAAGTGTTACAGTAATATTCTTGCAAAAAGGAAATCGGTAGATACTTATTTAATATAAATTAAATATTTTTTTTAAAAAAGAAATGATTCATAACTTATTAATTCTTTATGTCTTTCATCCATTACATGAGTAAAATATTGGCTCATTATGGGTATTTTATTCTGAATCATTTAATTTATGTTAAATACATAAATGGTTTTAACTAAAATTGAAAAAGTGTTATATTAATATTTTTACGGAAGAGAGATTGGTAGTTTTTGTATTTAACAAAAATTATTTAAAAGTAAATACAAATCTGTATTTGAGCGTAAATAGTTGTATTAAATTAAATGTTTGAAAATAAAATACCCGTAAAGAGCCGGTACTTTAAATAGGTAATGCTTATTTGCCTATAAACTATACTCCTTAAAGTTTATTAATTGTTAATTGATTTGTAGTATTTTGTCATTCATTGGGCATGTAGTACAAAGGACAAATTTGGTACAAAATTCTAATTTCACTCTCTAAAATAATATTTTAATCGTTTGGACTGAATTTGTAAAGGATTAGTAACCTCAGGGGAGGTCAGTGTAATTTTTCAAACTATAGGGGAGTTCAGTGCAAATGTCAGAAACCTCAGGGGAGGTTTCTGCAATTATCCCTAAATTTAAAACATTGAATGTGTCTAGCGGGACCACAGTCAATGGCATATGCGTTTCGGCAATGTTTTGAAAATCGGATCGGACCGGCCGGTTCGACCGATTGAACCACGAACCGGCCATGACACCGGTCTGGTTCAATGCTATAGTTGACTTTGTCAGAAAACCGGTCAAAAACCGGTCGAATCGTAAAAACTGCGGTCGAACCGCTATTGAACCGGTTTTCAACCTTCCTTTTTTTTTTTGTTACAAAATGTAGCTATCAAAATTCGAATTCAAGACATTTGTAATAGAAAATCAATGTATTAACCGTTGCACCATCACATCCTATTAATTTAATTTTTTTTGATAACTTATTTATATAAAGCAAACACTCATATTTCTTTTTTCCATTTTTCTTACAAAATCTCATCCTCTCATGGCTCTTTCTTTTTAATTTTCAACTCTCTCTCTCTCTCTATCCTCTTTTTTTTCGTCACTCTCTTTTTAATCAAACCTCTTTATTTTTAATTTATTGATGTTTTCTTCCATCTTTTAATTTTGTTTTTGTCCATTAAATTGAAAAAAGTTCAAAAAGAATTATTTTTTTAACCCAAATTATTAAATGCTACAACCACTCACTTTTATCTCATTTTTTGTTTCTTATCAAGTTTACATTTCTATTTTCGATTTTCTTGACTTCCTTCGAACTCCAAACTTCCTTTTTTAAATTGCAATCTCTAAAACGTAAATTAAAATTTAAATTCACAATATGTAAATTCTTATAGACGTGAATTTTGTATAATTTCAAAATATTGTTATATTTTTGGGTTGGATTTAGATATAATTGAAATTGAGATGAAATTTATTTGTTTTAACTTATAATTTAAAAATTTTATTTTTAAAAAATTCAAGTTATTAAAAAATAGTAAACCTTTCATCATATAAAGTATTAAATTAATCCATTATATGTCTTATTTTGTACATATATATATTTATATAAATAATTTTTTAAAAAATTCATTGAACCGAGGTTGAATCGGTCCGACCGATTGAATCTCGACCCTTTCACTTGACCGATTCAACGAACGGTCCGGTTTTTAAAACATTGCATTTGGATTGCCGTTTATCTGTGCACCACTCGATGCCTTGAGCTGGTTTTCAGTAGGCTGCTTTTTATTAACCATATAGATAAAGAGGGAACCGCCTCCTGCCACCTAGGATGGTCGTCCGCCCATGTGGCAACTGGAGATTGGCTGGAGGTGATATGGCACTTGGTTGTCCTCCCTCTTGTATTTGTTTGAGGGCTTTTCTTCTTCTTCCCCCGATAAACCAAACGACGTCGTCTGTTCCTTCTTCTGTTTTTGTGTCTTTCAAAACGTAGCAGACGTCGGTGTGGTCGTCCTCGGGTGTGTCGCCGGGTGATTGGTTGGCTGTTGATGACATGAATCTTGTCAGACGTTGGTGGTGCCCGGTTGCTTCTTTGTTTGGTCACAAACAGTAGAGTTGTTATTTGGTAATGGATCGTTGGGCTAGGAGATTAGTTAATATTACGGTTGTAGCCCTTTGGCCTTCACCTATTTACGTCCTTCTATCTATACAGGTTCGTTGTTTTAACAAGGGTGTGTTGGTAATGTGGCTTAGGCGTCAACTTTGGTCATCCACTAACGTGTTCTCTTTCTTTTGTTGGGGGAAGAAACCCAGTGGACAGATTGACCTGTTATCAGAGTTTCTGGTGAGATTTGACTCTCGCATTGGGCTCGATGCTTCAGAAGAACTTTCTTTCCTCTCTCTCTCCGTCAATCGCCTCTCTCAATCATCATCTCTTTCTTTTTCTTTCTTCAGAAAGCCCTCATATTCTCTTCATTTTTATGTTTTCTTTACCTTTATCTTCTAAGCTAATCTAACCCAGAAGAATGATAAAGAAAAAAAATGGTTCCATATTTTGCTTGGAGGTTTGTTGGCTTGAAAAAAATAAGAAACGGTTTTTTTTCTCTTTCATTTTTTCATCATCGTCCCTCTTTTCCTTATCTTTCTCTTCAATTATCCCCTCATCTCTCTCATCTTCTTCGTCATTTTTTTTTTCTTTCCGATTTTGATTGAGCACAACAACAACAACGAGGATGGTTGGGATTTTTTTTGGGTTTCTAATCTCTTCTTCTTTCTCTCTCTAGCCTTTTGGATCTTTTTTTGTGTGGGGGCTTAGCAGTCAAATTTTTATATATTAATTTGTATATATCTTTGATGTTGCAGGTGCAAAAAAAATGGAAATGTCTTTTAGCATCCAGCATCCCGATGAGAGTGAGTTTGTGTAACTTTTTTCCCTTTTTTATAAAGTGCGTCTCTTTTGTTTTTCTATTTCCTTCCTAAGTTATTGCCTGATTTTTTAGCAACTGGTAGTGGAATCCTCTGGAATGTATATGTTAAAGAGCTTTCCGGTTAGAGTTTGGGATCCAAAGAAGCCCTTACTGTCAAGATTTTGCATAAATCCTATGGTTAGAATTTTGGAACCCCATCTCGTGTCTTGATGTTTTATATGGGTTATTTGGAGAAGCAAAAGTCAGAGTTTTTTACTTTTCTCTCTTTCTCTTTAGAAAGGAAACCCCTTTTCCCCTTTTCTTGCCTAAGGACTACTTGTAGTTTTTTTTTTTTTTGTGAAAAAGAGATGGGAAAAAATTGTCACTTTCTATTTTCTTGTATTTTTTTGTTAACTAATATGCTCTAAGAGATCTAGGATCTTTCAGAAAAATTTGAAGTGCCGTTTTATGTATTTGTATGAATTGATTTATTGTGTTTTCATTTGTTTATTTGTTATTGTTAGGGTATAAATGAAGAATTAAGAGAAGAATTTGACGGGTTTAGGGTTATCTGTTAAAGCTTCCCAGAAGGGTTCTCTCTCTCTCTCTCTCTCTCTGTGTGTCCGTTTTTATCTGTTAAATCCACTTTTGATTAATTAAGTTTCAACTATGAATTTTTTTTAGTGCAAATATCCTTATGTTAGTAAAATTTGCTTTAAATTACTGGTAGTTTAAATTGCTTGGAGTATAATTTTTTTGTATTGAAAAATTTTGAAGTAAGTGATCTTACTTGATGGTCAAAGTAGAACCATACGAGGCCCTGCTGGGTTTATTATCAATGGTTTCTTACTACAAGCATATTTTTTTTAAGTGTACAATGTTGAGGACTCTTAAATGATAGGGAAGGTGGGTATATGATTTCTGAGGTATAAAAATTGCTAACGAGTCAGGAAATCCTGAAACAAGGTCTCTGACCCTAGGCTTGAGAAATCTTGTAGGTTTCTGAACCTCCCGGTTTGGCTTGCCTCTCCATGTTCTGTAATTTTGTTTTTCAGAATTAGTTATTTGTATCATTTTAATTTGTCGGTTTATTCCTAATACCAACTTACTATTCTTGTTCCAGGTTTTTCCTTCTCATTTTACTTGAAATCTATGCTCTTTTTTTTTCACATGTAAATGCATATTTTTCCCTGGCATCGTTAACACAATATTTTGTGTTGTCTCTTTCTTTTTGGCCACTTGGCAAATTGATTCGATAATATTCTTAAATCTTAACTGAATTCTTTCTGCATTTAGAAGCTTGATTTTATTTTCTTAAATTTGTTTTCTAACAACCTTCCATTCTTTGTTTGCTCCCTGCATAATCAAATGCAGTTTATTTTTATATGATATTGTGGATTTCTTAAAATTCTTCTTTTTCCTTTGCTTGCATATAGTTTTGGGATAATCTGTTGTTTATACATTTCCCCTTTCCTTGCTTTGTTTGTCAAACCTGTCATTCTATAATTCTTTAGGGGCCTATTATTGCTTGTAAATGATGGGTTGTCCTGACTACTTGATGTGTATTGTGTATAAATTTGTATTTAATAGTCTGTAAAGATGGCAACTTATGTGCCGTAACCTATTTTTGTTTAGCGGTTTTGTTATTCTGTTTTATTTACTTTAAAATCTCACATGAAAAATGCTTCTTTACTAAAGTGAACAATTCTGATTCATACACAACTTCTAGGATATTTCTGAATTGTTGAGTCTTACATCTGTTAGTAGCTTATATTTCCAAAATGCAAAACTTTTATGTGGTTTTGTTTGTGGATTTAGGTACTTCTTCAAACACTGCATTTGGTAAACCTCTCTTTTGCACTCCTTCGAGAAGTAATAGCTAGTGTTAACAGGTATGCTTTGTTATTCAATCGTTCTTTTTCTTGTGTTTCACTTTGACATCTCAGTGGCTTTTTTTTCTTAAATTAAAAGTGGATTAAAATCTTGAAGGTTTCGCCATACCCAAGGGACAGAGAGTATTATTTTGGATTATAAGTGTTCGAGGCTAGAAATCTTTGTATTCACTTGAGAGGTTGGATGCCTCCCTTCCACTTCATTCGTGACTTCTTGTACTAAGGCATGAATTTGGGTCTCATATCTATTTGCCCAGCTTATATTTCCAGAATGCAACAACTTTTATGTGGTTTTGTTTGTGCGTTTTAGGTCCTTCAAATGCTACATTTGGTGCACTCGTTCAAGAAGTAATAGCTGGTGTTAACAGGTATGGTTTGTTATTCAGTCATTCTTTTTCTTGGGTTCAACACTGAGAAGACTAATCAATTCCCATCTGAAAATTTTTCATAGCTCAATCCTCTCGAACTTGAGCCTTTTGTCTCAAAATTCCCTTCTATTCTTATTTTTCCTTCTTTCTCTCTGAAATCTGCTTGTTTCTCCATTCCTGTTCGATGTATACTTTTTTCCTCTTGATTAAATTTTCAAATGTAATTTTCTATTATCTTTATCTCTATTTCAGAGCTGTTTGAGAAATGGAGTGTGGAAAATTTTGCCTCTTATTAAAGTATTCCCTAAAATTCCAGTGAAGTCATGATTAAGAGGTTGTCAAGGTTTTTTTAAACAGTTCCGTTCAGTAATCATCCTTACTTGAGGTCCAATATTCTATGCTTTCATGCTTTTGCATTGGAACTTATGATTGTGTCCTTAGATAATATCGTTTGACTTCCTTTTCATGTTCTTAGAAAGTTTCATTTTTCCAAGTTGATATTGCCAGCAACTCTTTACAGGTAAGAAATTTAGTGTAAGATGGTGTCAATTGACTGTTTCTATTAAACTGTTTTAGTTATTTGGTAATGACTTTGTCATTTTTCGCCTTTTTGCAGCCAACTATTACATTTTGTGGACAACTTTTTAATGCTTAAAGTGAGTGAAATTCCATCTTTGGCCCCTTTTTTTGGGAATTTGTATCAATTTTGTTTGATGAAAGTCTATAACATCCTGCTCGCTTTGCTAAGTATGCTATCTACATGACTTATTCAATGATTTGTCAAGATTTGACTTTTGTCATTATAAAGAAAAAGGGAATAAGGAAATAGGTTAGCCTGTGTTGGAGTAATATGAACCTTACTGGAAATAAAAGCCGAATTACATAACCTTATTTAGAGCTGCATGTATTTTGGCTTTTGGGTTGGAGTATGTCATTAGAATATAAAGACATCCTCTCTGAAGAAGCTTCTGCTTCATTTTAACGTTTTAGGATCTTCCTGGCCTATTTGATTGCATGATCATTTTATTTCCATTTTCACCTTATTTTCCATTGGCATTTTGTGTAAATTGCATAGTTGCATGATCAAGTTGTGGACAAGTTTACTTGCGTACCATCTCTAACTCTCTAAGGATCTAACACTGTAGCACATCCAATACTTTCACTTCAGTCAGAACCCGAGTTAGCAAGCAAGATACTTTAGCTTTGCGTGTAAGAATCTTTTCATCTATCAACTTCAACAATTATTGTAGCCAAATAAAATGGAAAAAAATTTCCTGATTGTGAAATGGGTTGAAAAAAACAAGGGTAACAAATTTTGTATTGGACTATGAGTAACCACAAGTGCTGTTGTTTGCTGAATTTGTCCTGTCCTTGGTGGCATCATTCAATTCTCTTGATTTATTTTTAACTTGGTGTTATATAGTAAACTAATTCTGATGGATTATATCTTACTTTCTCGGTGTTATACATGGCAGGTTTCTTTCAGTAGTTTCTTTCCAAAGTTGCTCATTACGCTTCTTGGACTTGGACGAGTACGAATGAAAGAAATTTTTGTTTTTGGTTTGCGTTAAAATATGTTTCTATTGGAATCATGAAAGTTAGACTTCATGTTTCGAGATTTTGCAAGACTGATTTTATTGTTTCATCTATTTATTATGAATTCCTTGACTATGAACAAATATCAAAGTTTTCACTGTATGACAAATTGTAATTGTAACTTTTTTTAGTTTAAATCTTATACAATTGCAACATTATATTTTTTTTTCATAGAAATTTTGTTTAGAGGGCAATAATTAGGCAACATTAAAAATAACTGGGCAAAATTAAAATTTCACACCGCGCACTTGCGCGGTGACCCCTCCTAGTTTAGAAGAAAACAAGAAGCTTCAGATGGTCCTACACGAGTTGAGTATCATGTCTGCAGAAAAGATTTGCCCAACAAATCAAAAAGTAAACTTGCTAGATCTGCCTGCAGGAAACTTCTGAACAGTTGTGGTCTAATCCCTTGTTCACATCCAACCAATGACGGGTCAAGATTTTAAGTCTTTTTCTGTGTTTGTGGTTGGTGGGGGATTGTTGTTGTTGTCACACATATAATAATTATTAATATCATTATTATATAAAAAGTACGGTGAATTTTGATATTTTCATTTAAAATGTAAGTGTAAGCATTGTTATAATTTTAGTTTTTGTTATTTCAATTACACCTTTATTAATTGATTATTGAAGTTTCATATTATGTTCTTTTTAATTTATTATCATGTTTAAAATTTATTATATCATATTTATTGATTTAGAAAAAAAATAATGTTCCATTATTTTCATCATCATCAAGGCAAGTGCAAAGCTAGTGCCAATATTAATGTATGAGAATATTATATTTTATGATATTATAATCACGTGCATAGCACATTATCTATTACTAGTAAAACAATATTATAGCAAATAAAGTGTAATAAATTTAAAACGAAAGTTGTACGATAACTAACAATAAGATGTTTTTAGTTGTAAAAGACAAGATATCAAATTTGGACTCTCCAATCATTTTATTTCCTAGCAACGCAAGGGATACGAGCAATACATCAATTATTGAATTAACATCATTTGTTTGAATTATTCCTTTCTCAATATCATATGATCAATTATAAGCAAGTACATTAAAAATTGTTACATTTTGTGTTTGTTTTTAACTAATACTCTTGATCTTACATTTTGGGGTTAGTTTTCTAACTTTTTTTTTTTAAATTCAAATCAATCTTACATTAGGGGTTGGTTTATCATAAATTTACATAAAGACAAATTAGTTGCTATTTAAAAGCTATACTAGCTAGCTACCAATGATTGTTTGCTCTTATCAATGTTATAATAATCCTAAGTAAATGTAATTAAAAGTTAGATTGTCATATAATACTTAACTTGAAGGGAATAAAAATAACTTGAGTTTAATTAAAAGTTAGATTATTATAGAATACTACTTTTTATAATGAAAGCTTGAAGGGAACAAAAATATAACTCCGATTATAAAATATTTTCCTTTCGTCGGTCTCTGCACCGACGGCTATATTTCCAAAGAGGGGCTCTCTTATTCCTAGGACCTTAATCCCTCTCCTCCAGCTATCTAAGAACTGCTGAAAATGTTTCCAAAATGTTGGAATTTTATAATTATCTCCGTTCTTCTTTCTCTTCAGTTAGTAGATGGACAGCCTTTTGATTATCCTACTGCAAATTTGTCTACTACGTGGATCAATAGTGTCTCAGCTAACCATTCTGTTGATTTTACAGATGGCTCAAAGGTGAGAGCCATTCTGCTCAGAGGAACATTTGGGCCTAGATATGCTTGTGGGTTCTTTTGCAACGGCACATGTGATAGCTATATGTTTGCAATCTTTATTGTTCAGACTAACAGTGTTTCATACATTGTCATGCCAAGCTCAGGATTTCCACAAGTTGTCTGGTCGGCTAACCGAAATAATCCTGTCAAAATCAATGCAACCCTGCAACTTACATCAGGAGGAGATTTGGTTTTACGGGATGCTGATGGGACTTCAGTTTGGTCTACAAACACGAGAGGAAGATCTGTCGCAGGTTTAAACTTGACCGAGGAAGGAAACCTGGTTCTCTTTGATATGAATAACTTGGTGGTCTGGCAATCTTTTGATCATCCTACTGATGCTTTGGTTCCAGGGCAAAAATTGGTATCTGGGCAGAAGTTGACGGCTAGTGCTTCAATTACCAACTCAACTGAAGGAGGTTTGTTCTCTATGTTTGTTAACAACGAAGGTTTGTTTGCTGCTGTAAAAGCAAATCCTCCACAAATTTATTATCAACAGTTAGTTGATAATACAAAGGCAAATAAAGAATCAAGCTATGCCAAGTTCCAAAACGGAAGCTTAGCCTTGTATATACATTCTTCTGAACCAAGGGATCCGGATTCAGTGATTACCCTGCCTCAGATTTCCTCAGCTCAGTACATGAAATTGGGGTCCGATGGGCATTTGAGACTATATGAGTGGGCAGACGGGTGGAAAGAGGTGTTTGATATTCTTGCTGGTTATCTTGGTGATTGCAATTACCCCACGGTTTGTGGAGAAAATGGCATCTGCTCGAATGGGCAGTGCAGTTGTCCTAGATCAGTCAATGCTTCAATGAACTATTTTACACAAATAAATGGAAGGCAGCCAAATCTTGGCTGTTCTGAGATCACTCCTTTGAATTGCAATGCTTCACGATATCATAATTTTCTTGAGCTAAAAGATATGGCTTACTTCACATTTAATGTAGATATTACTAGTACCAATATGGATAGCTGTAAGCAAGCATGTCTGGGTAACTGTTCGTGCAAAGCAGCTATATTTCGTTATGGTTCAAATTCTTCTAATGGAGATTGCTATTTACCTGCCCAGATCTTTTCATTGATGAACAATGAGCAGGACAAGACTCATTATAATTCATCTGTGTTCATGAAGGTGCAGATCACACCAAATGCATCAGCTCCTGAAAAAACTTCTCCTAAAGGTACTCCAACTCTTGTCATATTGGGATATGCTATTGCAGCTTTCATTTTATTGGCCGTCCTCATTGGTTTGACAATCTGTATAATCCGAAAGAAAAGATTAGCCAGGGAGGTTGAGGAGGGCGACTTAGACAATGTACCAGGAATGCCAACTAGATTTCCATTTGAAGATTTAAAAATTGCAACAGCAAATTTTAGTAAGAAACTTGGGGAGGGAGGATTTGGTTCAGTTTTTGAAGGTTCGCTTGGAGATGGCACTAAGGTTGCAGTAAAATGTCTTGATGGAATTGGTCAAGTGAAGAAATCATTTTTGGCTGAGGTGGAAAGTATTGGTAGCATTCATCATGTTAACTTGGTAAGATTGGTAGGTTTTTGTGCAGAAAAATCTCACCGACTTTTAGTTTATGAACTCATGAGTAATGGATCTCTAGAGAAGTGGATCTATAGACAAGGCCAAGAAATTGTCCTTGACTGGAAATGCAGGAGGAAAATAGTACTTGATATAGCCAAGGGGTTAACTTATCTCCATGAAGATTGTAGACAGAAAATTATTCATTTGGATATAAAGCCCCAAAACATTCTTTTGGATGATAAGTTCAATGCTAAGCTATCTGACTTTGGGCTTTCCAAGCTAATTGATAGAGACCAAAGCCAAGTTGTTACCACTATGAGAGGTACTCCTGGCTATCTGGCTCCAGAGTGGCTCTCTGCAGTTATTACAGAGAAAGTAGATGTCTATAGCTTTGGAGTTGTGGTACTGGAAATCCTGTGTGGAAGGAAAATTGTCGATAGATCTGAGCCAGAGGAACGAATGCATTTGCTTAGTCTTTTCAAGCAGAAAGCAGAAGAAGGAAAGTTGATGGATATGATTGATCAATATAGTGAAGATATGCAGTCTAATAGAGAAGATGTTGTGAAGATGATGCAAGTTGCAGCTTGGTGTCTGCAGAGTGACCATGCTAGTAGACCTTCAATGTCAGTGGTGGTTAAGGTCTTGGAGGGTGTTATGGATACTGAAACAAATCTGGATTATGGCTTCGAAAGACCAAGCATCTCCTCCACGAGCATATCACAAGTTGGCTCAGAAGAAGTCACTGCTTTAATTCCATCTGTTCTCTCTGGACCAAGATGATCCTAATGCTCTTAGATTAGGCCCTTCTCTTAGGTTCCATATTTGTATGACTATTTCTTTTAGGAAGAAAATGTACCATAGTCTTCTTTTCTTGATGATATTTATTAACTGTTTGGATCAAATTCCTTTTTTTTTCCAGGTGCGACTTATTATGTAATGAGGGCAATGCCTCTATTAGGTTTTTTTTTTGGCAGATAAAATTCAATTATTTTCTGTAGCGAGAGAGATGCAGGCTTGAATTCTGGGAACATCTACCTTGAGTACAATCATATCTGTTCAGCTGGCTGCATTTTTTGGCTTAAGGGAACATCTACCTTCAATTCTTGATGGTATAAGTGGCTTAGTAGTAACAGAAATAAATTCTTGACATAAGGGTTTAATGGGATCTCAAAATGAGAGTTGATCCATTCTAGGTGTTGAGGCAGTAGATTACTGCTACTCGGAGACAACTTGGAAGTCGCAACAAAATTACGTTTCTTGACAGTTTTTCGAGACTTAGATTATGAAAAGTTCGTTCTTCGTGCAGTTTTGCGAAGTTGGCCAATAGAGGATTATAGTACTCACCGGTAGCAATTCTTATCAAAGAGTTGACTTGGAAAGAAATATGTATAGTTGAGAACTAAAATCAGCTCGAATAGATAAACTTTCATTATTGGCGCCCAAGTTTGACTGGTGACCCTACTCATGTTCATGAAAATTGGCTTGCTTCATGCTTTTAGTAAAGTTCATGAAAATTCAGGAATATGATGAAGTTCATTTGAATCAAGTGCCAGGGATGCTCTTAAGATTCTCATATGTAGATTTGAAAGCCATGACAAATAACTTCAGTGATGAACTTGGAGCCAGAGGCTTCGGATCCATCTACAAAGGAACTCTAAAAAACGGAGAGAAAATAGCGGTGAAGTTCTTGGGTGGATTAGGCCTTGCAAAGAAGTCATTCTTAGCAGAAGTTGAGACCACTGGGAAAATTCACCGTGTCAATTTGGTGAGACTGATTGGTTTCAGTGCAGAAACGTCATACCGATTTCTAGTCTATGACTATATGCAAAATGGATCCTTGGATAAATGGATTTTTTGTACAAACAAAGAGGACACACTTGGATTGCTTTTGAGAAAGGAAATCATCTTAGATGATGCAAAAGGACTGGCGTATCTTCATGAAGAATGCAAGCAGAAAATAGTCCACTTGGACATCAAGCCCCAGAACACTCTTTTGGATGAGAACTTTAGTGCAAAGATATCTGATTTTGGATTGTCAAAATTGATTGACAAAGACCAGAGCCAAGTAGCAACAACATTGAGAGGAACACTATGGCTCCAGAATGGCTGAGCTCCGTGATTACAGAGAAAGTAGATGTCTACAGTTTTGGTGTCATGGTCCTGAAATCTTGTGCGGCAGGAAGAATTTGGATAGGTGTCAGTCTGAAGATGATGCGCATTTGCTTGGTCTTTTCAAGAGAAAAGCAGAAAACGGTGAGCTTCTTGATTTGGTCGATAAAGACAACAAAGATATGCAGTTGCATGGATCCCTAGTAGTAGAAATTATGATAAGGCTGCTGCATGGTGCCTGCAAGGTGATTACAGGATGAGGCCTTCAATGTCAGATGTGGTTAAGGTCTTGGAGGGAACAATGGAAGTTGAAAGCAACTTAGCGTATGGTTCTAACACTCCTCCATTGCATTAACAGGAGTTACTGCAGGTAATGGTGTTGCTACCACTGTGCTGCCATCAGTTTTGTCAGGACCAAGGTAGGAAACTGGGATCCGAGAACAATGATCCAGCTTTCATATTCAGTGTTTTCTTATACGAGTTAAATTCATTCATGCCGAAATTGATCTAACGGTGGAAAATTATGAAGCATTGTACCAAGAATTGGAGCGGAGAGTATTAAGTGTTATTCTTTCTCCTTCTAAATAGTAGTAGTCTCTTTTGTTTCTCCTCTTATGAAGGGAAAGGGGCTAAAACAAAGCACTGCCCCCAAATAATTCTTCTATTACCCAAGTAATTTTGAGAAATTTTTAGTTGTGCTCCTCTTTATGACCCGTGCAATTTTGAGAAATTTTCAATTATACGTTGCCTAGAAATAAATGTAAATACAATTAGTTTTGTAAAAATGAATTTTGTGATTTTTTTTTTCAACAAAAGTGAAAATACAGAGTAATTGCGTTGCTGAATTAACATAAATTAAAACAGGCGTAACTTTTTTCAATAAAGTGGAGTTGATTTTGTTTTTTAATAAAACAACAAATTTTATAAGTTATAAAATTATAGGTCTGTGAGCTGCTTTATATAAGAGGTTTCTTGTATTTTTTTTTTTCCAAAAGAAAAAAAATCACTGTTCTATTATTATTATTATGTGATTTTATGTGGTATTAATCATTAAATAGATGCAATACATTTTTATATGAAAATTGTTGTTATGAACTACTTTTAGGAAAGACAATGAAGACATTTTGATACTTATTTTTGCCCTACTCACAATTATTTCTCTGCCGGCCACTGCTCCAAACTCTTTGCTTTCTTAGTAAGTATAAATGCATATTTACTCTCTTTTGAAAGGTAAACACAAATAATTTCAATAGCAATAGTAGATACACCTGACAACTTCTTTTCATGCGGAATCCAACTACTAAACAAGGCTAGTGATCATCAGATCCAGCAGTCAATGAGCTGCCAAGAACTATGAGGCCAATCAAACAAAAGCTAATCACTTAGCGACGCTAATTAGAATATAGAAAAAATGTCAACAAAAATGTTGTCTAATTGGTGCTAACAAGTAAAGTGAGGTGGCTGCTTTAGGACCTGTTCATTTATTTTATTTTCCAGATAATATTTTCAAGAAACTTCTTATGACTTTCCCGGATGACAGTGAGAACTACATCGCTTTCGAATTGGTTATCTTCAATTCAACTTCTTTTCTTTACTGGAAAAATCTCACGTAGACCAGCTTGTGGAAAGAACATATGCCATACGTTAGGTACTTGTAACGTGTGCTCCAAAAAATTTGTTCACTATAAAATGGAAAAGTCTTTGCTTCATGGTCTTCAAGAAAGTTAACTAGCAGTACATACAAGACTAATCAAACTTTGTTGCAGCAATCTTTCACATATTTGTTGCTCATGTTATGGTAGTGAAATTCTCCAGGGTTTCCACTCCTTTTTCTCCCATTACTTGAAAGTTCAAAGTACCCATGATTTAAGTTGGCTAAATTCGGGCATTCATGTTGTCAAAAATTTGAGTTTCTGAAAGTCTATGATTGAACTGTAGTGGTACTTAAAACCTTAATGATGGTTCCTATGTTTTAAGACTCTGGAAGACTTGGATCTTAGAACAGATGGACAGCCAGCCCAAGTTGCTCTCTTTTTGGTGGGGTGAAAGATGAATGGCTCTGTTGATTATTATTATCTTCCTGTCCAGATTGAGATAGGCTAACTAGCAGCGATGTGCTCCTAATGTAAAGTAATGATTTGAGGTAATATTCATTCATTTCTTCCCACTCAACACAAAAATTTTGAGGGGCTTATTCATTCATTATTTCATTTCTTCCCACTCAACACCAATATTTGTAGGGGCTTATTCATTCATTTCGTCCCACTCTTTATCTTTTTTCTAGCTAAGAAGCTACTCTATAATCTGCATAATACATAGCAAGCAATGGCCTTAAAGCACACCCCATATCATGCAGCTATGCTCCTGTCTAGCCTTCTGATAATTTCTTCTTCACAATTTTTATGTGTCAAAGCTCTCAGCTATAATTCAGCTGCCTCTCTTTCCACTTCCTGGCTTAATCACCCCAGTCAGATGGTCAATAGTACAGAATTGGCTTTTGTGACACCAATCCTTTTGAGAAAAACAAATGGACCGTGGTTCATGTGCGGCTTCTACTGTAAAATGGATGGTAGGTCATGCCTCTTTGGAGTCCTCATTTTCCAAAATTTGAATACAACTTATCTGCAATTCCCACAACTAGTCTGGTCTGCTAATAGAAACACTCCTGTACAAACTCATGCTGCTTTGCACCTCAGGCAAGATGGAGAATTGGTTTTGAAAAATTTTGATCACACTGTAGTCTGGTCCAGCAACACGGGAGGAAAGCCTGTTTCAGGATTAAACTTGACTGAAACAGGAAACCTTGTGCTCTTTGGAAAAAATAACGAGACCATTTGGCAATCTTTTGATCATCCTACCGACTCGTTGCTGTGGGGACAGAAATTAGTTCCAGGGCAGAAATTAAGAGCTAGTGTTTCAGAATCAAACATGAGTGAAGGTTTGTTCTCTCTTTCTGTTACCCCCGATGGCTTGTTGGCTTATATGGAGTCCAATCCACCTCAAAGATACTATACGTCTAGATTTCACGAGGGTCGTTCTTTTGCATTCAACAAAGGACGCTTCTATAGATGGGATATTCCTTATAATTCGTCTGCTCAAATCCTGAAGTTTGCTCCCGAAGGGCATCTAAAGGTACATCAGTTGGATTCGGATGGAATGCATTGGAAAGAGGTTGCTGATCTTTTGAGTCCAGAAGCTGGTGATTGTGGATATCCAATGGTATGTGGAAAGTATGGAGTCTGCAAACATGGGCAATGTGGTTGTCCTGATGCAGCCAACTATCAGTCAAACTTTTTTAGGCAAATCGATTCTAGGCATCCAAATCTTGGATGTTCAGCACTTACTCCAATTTCTTGTGACTACGCCAAAGATCAGAGTTTTCTAGAGCTTAAGAATGCATATTACTTTGCGTTTGAATCAAGTTTGTACGGTCATGGAACAGGGTTAGATGAATGCAAAAATAGCTGCCTGAACAACTGTTCATGCAAAGCAGCTCTATTTGCATACGATGGCAATGGTACTTCAGAAGGAGGTTGTTTATTACTGAATGAAGTATTCTCTATCATCAATAACGAGAATCACGCAGTATCAGTTCACAACACAACCCTGTTTGTTAAGGTTTCTAACGTCAAGAATTCAAGGCAGAGCAAGGCTACGTTGCTATTGACTCTAGGAGCTTTTTCTGCTTCGCTTTGCGTTGTTGGGTGTTGCCTCTTTCTTTTCAGGAAAAGATTAAAAGAACTGAAGGAAATCGAAATGGATTTGCTTGACCACTTACCAGGTATGCCTACAAGATACTCGTATGAGATGTTGAAAAAAATGACAGAAAATTTCAGCAGGAAACTTGGGCAAGGAGGATTTGGTTCTGTCTACGAAGGAATACTTGACAATGGCACCAAAATAGCGGTTAAATACCTTGATGGTTTTGGCCAGGTGAAGGATTCATTTTTAGTGGAAGCAAACACAATAGGTAGCATCCACCATATTAATTTGGTGAAACTTGTTGGATATTGCTCTGAAAAGTCACATAGGCTTCTGGTTTATGAATACATGGCTAATGGATCTCTTGATACCTGGATATTTGGTGGAACAGAAAAATCTCCTCTTCCATGGCATACAAGAAGAAAAATCATCTTGGACATTGCTAAGGGATTAGCTTATCTCCATGAAGAATGCTGTCAGAAAATAATCCACTTTGATGTAAAACCCCAAAACGTTCTCTTAGATCAAAATTTTAATGCAAAAGTTTCTGATTTTGGATTGTCAAAGCTTCTTGAAAAGGATCAAAGTAGAGTTGTTACAAGGATGAGAGGAACGCCGGGTTACTTGGCTCCCGAATGGCTGCACTCAGGTATAACAGAAAAAGTTGATGTTTACAGCTTTGGCGTTGTCATCATGGAGATCATCTGTGGGAGGAAGAATGTGGATTGGTCCATGACTGGAGAGAATAGCCATCTGCTCAGTCTTTTCAAGAGAAAAGCACTAGAAGAGAGGCTTCAGGACATTGTTGACAAGAAAAGTGAGGATATGCTGATCCACATGGAGGAAGCTATTGATGTGATGAAGATTGGTGCATGGTGTCTGCAGAGTGATTTCACCAAGAGGCCTTCAATGTCATTAGTAGTTAAAGCATTGGAGGGTGTAGTAGCAGCTGAAACCAAATTAAACTTCGACTTCACAAATTCATCGGTAGTTAATATGGTGGCAACTGCTGATCAAGAACAGGAAGCTGTTGATGATGCTAGTCCATTGTTGCCTTCAGTTTTATCTGGACCGAGGTAGGCGAGAACTCAAGCAGCTGTGATCTTTAGTCTAAAAACCCTGCAGTTTGTAGTGTAATGTACTTGTACAGAATTTGGCTTCAATGAAATGACAAAACTGCAGTTTGCCAATTGCTACCATCTGAACAGCATGGGGAGGCAAATGTAATTCAGCTTATACTGTATGTATTGACATTTGATGATACAAAAAGCAAGTATAATTCACTTTTTCCTTTTCTTTTTTTTTTCTTTACCAAGAACTCAGGCTATCATCCAAAATGAGATATGATTTTGGTTCTAAAATGGTCACATAAATAGCTAAATTATAATGTATTCTCTTTTGAGGACATGTAAGAGCAAACTAAACGATGCTTGCTGCAGAGTGACCATGCTAGTAGACCTTCAATGTCAGTGGTGGTTAAGGTCTTGGAGGGTGTTATGGATACTGAAACAAATCTGGATTATGGCTTTGAAAGACCAAGCATCTCCTCCACGAGCATATCACAAGTTGGCTCAGAAGAAGTCACTGCTTTAATTCCATCTGTTCTCTCTGGACCAAGATGATCCTAATGCTCTTAGATTAGGCCCTTCTCTTAGGTTCCATATTTGTATGACTATTTCTTTTAGGAAGAAAATGTACCATAGTCTTCTCTTCTTGATGATATTTATTAACTGTTTGGATCAAATTCCTTTTTTTTTCCAGGTGCCACTTGTTATGTAATGAGGGCAATGCCTCTATTAGTTTTTTTTTTTGGCAGATAAAATTCAATTATTTTCTGAAGCGAGAGAGATGCAGGCTTGAATTCTGGGAACATCTACCTTGAGTGCAATCATATCTGTTCAGCTGGCTGCATTTTTTGGCTTAAGGGAACATCTACCTTCAATTCTTGATGGTATAAGTGGCTTAGTAGTAACAGAAATAAATTCTTGACATAAGGGTTTAATGGGATCTCAAAATGAGATTTGATCCATTCTAGGTGTTGAGGCAGTAGATTACTGCTACTCAGAGACAACTTGGAAGTTGCAACAAAATTAAGTTTCTTGATAGTTTTCCGAGAAATACTTGGATTATAAAAAGTTCGTTCTTCGTGCAGTTTTGCGAAGTTGGCCAAGAGAGGATTATAGTACTCACCAGTAGCGATTCTTATCAAAGAATTGACTTGGAAAGAAATATGTATAGTTGAGAACTAAAATCAGCTCGAATAGATAAATTTTCATTATTGGCGCCCAAGTTTGACTGGTGACCCTACTCATGTTCATGAAAATTGGCTTGCTTCATGCTTTTAGTAAAGCTCATGAAAATTCAGGAATATGATGAAGTTCATTTGAATCAAGTGCCAGGGATGCTCTTAAGATTCTCATATGTAGATTTGAAAGCCATGACAAATAACTTCAGTGATGAACTTGGAGCCAGAGGCTTCGGATCCGTCTACAAAGGAACTCTAAAAAAGGGAGAGAAAATAGCGGTGAAGTTCTTGGGTGGATTAGGCCTTGCAAAGAAGTCATTCTTAGCAGAAGTTGAGACCACTGGGAGAATTCACCATGTCAATTTGGTAAGACTGATTGGTTTCAGTGCAGAAAAGTCACACAGATTTCTAGTCTATGACTATATGCACAATGGATCCTTGGATAAATGGAGTTTTTGTACAAACAAAGAGGACACACTTGGATTGCTTTTGAGAAAGGACATCATCTTAGATGATGCAAAAGGACTGGCGTATCTTCATGAAGAATGCAAGCAGAACACTCTTTTGGATGAGAACTTTAGTGTAAAGATATCTGATTTTGGATTGTCAAAATTGATTGACAAAGACCAGAGCCAAGTAATAACAACATTGAGAGGAACACTATGGCTCCAGAATGGTTAAGCTCCATGATTACAAAGAAAGTAGATGTCTACAGTTTTGGTGTCATGGTCCTGGAAATCTTGTGCAGTAGGAAGAATTTGGATAGGTGTCAGTCTGAAGATGATGCGCATTTGCTTGGTCTTTTCAAGAGAAAAGCAGAAAACGGTGAGCTTCTTGATCTGGTCGATAAAGACAACAAAGATATGCAGTTGCATGGATCCCTAGTAGTAGAAATTATGATAAGGCTGCTGCATGGTGCCTGCAAGGTGATTACAGGATGAGGCCTTCAATGTCAGATGTGGTTAAGGTCTTGGAGGGAACAATGGAAGTTGAAAGCAACTTAGCGTATGATTCTAAGACTCCTCCATTGCACTAACAGGAATTATTGCAGGTAATGGTGTTGCTACTACTGTGCTGCCATCAGTTTTGTCAGGACCAAGGTAGGAAACTGGGATACGAGAACAATGATCCAGCTTTCATATTCAGTGTTTTCTTGTACGAGTTAAATTCATTCATGCCGCAATTGATCTAACAGTGGAAGCCAGTAGTACTTGCTTAGACATTCTTCTATTATGAAATTAGGGTTGCAAACGAGCCGAGCCGAGTCGAGCTTTGATCTTATCGAGTCGAGTCTTGACTTAATTTCATCGAATTCGAACTCAAGCTCGAGCTCGATGAGCTAGTAATTTTCAAGCTCGAGCTCGACTCGATTCGAGCCGAGCAACTCGAGCTCCAAAAAAATAAAAAATAATTATTTTATTTTTAAAAAATTAAATAAAATAATATTTTTTCTTAATAAATAATAAAATATTAAGGATATTTATGTAATTTTACTATTAAAAATAAAAATAAAAAATAAATATATATATACTCGATCTCGCGAGCCGACTCGTGAGCTAATGAGCTTAATGTTTTGAGCTCGAGCTCGAGCTCGACTCTGGTTCGACCAGCTCGAGTCGAGCTTGAATCGAGCTGCTCGCGAGCGACTCGATTCGTTTGCACCCCTAATTATGATGCATTGTACTATGAATTGGAGTGGAGAAGATTAAGTGTTAGTCTCTTTTGTTTCTCCTCTTATGAAGGGAAAGGGGCTAAAACAAAGCACTGCCCCCCAAATAATTCTACTATTACCCAAGTAATTTTGAGAAATTTTTAGTTGTGCTCCTCTTTATGACCCGTGTAATTTTGAGAAATTTTCAATTAAGCCCTCATTGCGTAGAAGTGTCAAAATGGGTGACTTGGGCGGGTTTGGGTTGGGTAAAATGGGTAATGGGTATAAGTGAGTCAACTCATTTATACCCATTTAATTAGATGGGTATAAATGGGTAAGTCAAAAAATGAATTGGGTAACCCAATTACCCATTTATAACTCATTTATTTTAACTTTTTGCTAACTCATTAAATTCATTTTTGCAAACTAAGTTATCAATTTATACCACTCTTTGTACCCATCATTAGTTTTAAATATTTACTTATAATGTTCAATAAACTTAATTACCAATTTTTTCATTTATACTCTATGTCACAAAATTACCTATTATTTAATAATTGAATAATACGAATATAAAAATTTGAATTAAGTACTATAAAAATTAATATAAAAACTTAATCCAAAAATTTGAACCCCTAACATTTTTTTCATATATAAATTTAAAATTTCATTTTATAAAGATAAGAAAATAGGCTAAAATTTATCATAAATTGGTAATGCTAAAAAATGAGCAAGTTAACAAACTAAAAAAAAATAAAATAATAAGATAAAACCAACAAATAATAATAATAATAATAATAATAATAATAATAATGTTAACATCATGACAAAATGAAAAATTTGAAAAAAAAAGGTAGGGGAAAAGAAGAGACTTGGGGGGAAGAGAATTTTAAATGGGTTAATTGGGTTTGATGGGTTACCCAATAATACCTATTTATTAAATGGGTATTATTGGGTAATCCATTTATACCCATATACAAAAATTTAAGATACCCATACCCATCTATTCATGGGTGGGTATGGGTAAATCTAGTTAAGTGGGTTGATTTGCCACCTCTGACATTGCGTTGCTTAGAAGCAAATGTAAACACAATTAGTTTGGTAATTTAATGGAAATAAAATGTTACAAAATTCAAAGCAATGGCCTGCTACGTCAGTAAAAATGAATTTTGTAATTTTTTCAACAAAAGTAAAAATATAGAGCAATTGCATTGCTGAGTTAAAATAAATTAAAACAGTTGTAACTTTTTTCAATAAAATGGAGGTGACTTTTTTTAATAAAACAACAAATTTTATAAGTTATAAAATTATAGGTCTGTGAGCTGCTTTAAGAGGTTTCTTGTATTTTTTTTTTATGCAAAAGAAAAAAAATCACTGTACTAATATTATTATGTGATTTTATGTGATATTACTGATTAAATAGATGCAATACATTTTATATGAAAATTGTTGTTATGAACTACTTTTAGGAAAGACAATGAAGAAATTTTGTAGAGGTGGCAAAATGGGCGGGATGGGCGGGATTTGCTTGGGTTTGAGATGGAACCGAGTCATATGGGTTTGGGCCCAACATTACCCATATGTGTTTTGGGACTAACTTGGGCGGGATCAGTTTGGGATGAGTTTAGATTGATCCCGCCCAATACCCAAATCCATTTTCTACATATTTTTTTTCCTTTAATTCATTTTTTATTTTTATATAATTTTAATATTTTTGATTTATTAAATTTCTTTTAGTTTTATTAAATAAACATGCAAGTGCTTTATACTCAAGATTCCCATAAAAAATTGGATTAACAAATAAAAGAAAAGATAGATATACAGCCATATTCCAACATATATCAAGATGGCCAAGGTCCTTAGGATGTTGAATATTTATCCTCATCATTGTCCAAGGATGACAGGTCTAAACTAACTGAAATGTTGGAAATTCTTATGGATAATGACTAGGAAGACTACTAGATTATATTCGCTGGTATGACTATAAAAATTGTTAAAGATAATTTTTGAATCTAAGACTCCGTTTGGATTGACTATTTTTTCAAAAAAATAAGTTTTTCAAATACAATGTTACAGTAATATACAATAAATCAAGAAACATCCCATCCATATTAGTATATCAAATATTTCAAAAAAATTTTATAGTAAAAATTTTTCATATACACTGCTACAATAAAATATTTCAAAAACACCCCCCAAAAACAGCTAATCCAAACGGAGCCCTTGTCATTTGAGCCCAATGGGTACCCAAGTATTTCCCATCCTTTCCCATTCATTAATGGGTATAGTTGGGATGTGTCCCAACTTAAACCCAATACCAAATTATAATACCCATCCCGCCCAAAATTCCTTTGGGCATGGGTAGCCCATTGGGACTTGGGACAAATTGTCAGCTCTAAAATTTTGATACTTATATTTGCCCTACTCACAATTATTTCTCTGCCGGCCACTGCTCCAAACTCTTTGCTTTCTTAGTAAGTATTAATCCATATTTACTCTCTTTTGAAAGGTAAACACAAAACATTTCAATAGCAATAGTAGATACACCTTACAACTTCTTTACATGCGAAATCCAACTACTAAACAAGGCTAGTGATCATCAGATCCAGCAGTCAATGAGCTGCCAAGAACTATGAGGCCAATCAAACAAAGCTAATCACTTAGCGACGCTAATTAGAATATAGAAAAAAAAAAAGTCAACAAAAATGTTGTCTAATTGGTGCTAACAAGTAGGGTGATTCATTTACTTTATTTTCCAGAAAATATTTTCAAGAAACTTCTTATGACTTTCCCGGATGACATCGCTTTCTAACCGGTAATCTTCAATTCAACTTCTTTTCTTTACTGGAAAAATCTCACG